CTAGTGTATCGATTTTAGGTTTAGACGATTATACCGGAGTCCTGTCGGTATACGCCTGCAACTTCTCCATGGTACCACTCGGTGGGGGCGTCGACGATAACGTATAACCCTTGAAAATTTTTTTTAAAAATATACACATTATTCTTGTGATCTTTTTTGGAGGATATTTCGGTTAAACGAGATTTTCTATCGGGTTGATTTTTTTTTCGGATCGATCAAAAATCGATTAGCAAAATTATCAAATTTTTAGGTTAGGTTTTTGGAATTTTTTTTTTTTACTAAAGTTTCACTGCATCTAACCACTCGTTTGATTATGCTATCAGGCTTCTATCTTTTTTTTATCTTTTATCTTCTATTCGACCAATGGGATAGGATCTGTCAGGAGGTATCGGCAGGACATCTGTCCGTCTGTCGTTAGCTACGTTTCGCTATCTCTCTCTTTATACCTCTCTCGACCTACTTTGCCCCGGCAAAAACGAAAGAGTCGCCATTCGCGCAGAAAAAGAAGAATCGCTACTTGGTTCGCACATCATGATGCAAATGTATCGCGTTACCGCAATTACGCATGTAGCCACTCCTGTGCAGCAAAAATAAATGCTAACGTTAATGTAAGTTTAAGATATATATATATATATATATATATATATATATATATATATATATATATATATATATATATATATATATATATATATATATATATATATATATATATATATATATATATATATATATATATATATATATATATATACATTAAACATTTAACATTAAACATTAAACATTAAACATTAAACATAAACATTTTTTTTTACTTTTTTATCAAAATTAAAAAAAGCCAGGAAAACCAGACGCGCAAACGTCAAATAAAGATAATGCGAATTTATTTAATTTTGTGACGCGAAGAACGAACTGGGTCAGAAAACGTACCGCCACGTAAATCTTTGCGGTCCGCTAATGCAATTAGCAAACGCGAAGAATAGGACCGAACTCGTTAAAGTTGCATCGACTCGGCTGTTTGATATTTTTTTTCCCAAAAAAACTTTATTTAAAAAATTGCAATAGCTCGAACGTTGCGAATTCGACGTTCGAGAATACTGTTTGACATAACGGTAAGATACATAGGAGAGGGAGAGGGGGGGGGTGATTACGTAAAGAATAAAAAATTAAAAATTAATCGCAATAGTCGAATTTTCAAAAAATAATTTCTGAACGAATTAACTAAATTCATTGATAGAGCAGCCAGTGGCTGGAATTAATTAATATACCTTTTCGAAAAGTTCGATCAAAGAAAATAAAATTGACGCATTTTAAATAAATACGCAGACGAATTTTAAATTCGGCGAATAATTTACCGTGTATTACTGCTGTTACATTATTTACTAAAATTCGTTCTGACCAGTATACATGTATATGACATTTGTTATCAGTGCATTAAAGAGATTAAGGATTATTTACGAAAAAAAAAAAACTAACATACTTATGCATGCAAAGCAAAATTTACAACTATTGAAATTGAATATTTTTTAAAAATATTATTTTGTTGACTATTTATTACTTTTTGTCAAGTTGCATAATATTATACAGGGTTATTCCGTACGAATCGTACCTACTGAAGTTGGTTTTACCATAAAAATTAGACTGGCTAACTTCAGGTGGTTTAGTCCGAATGATATTATATATTCGTATACACGTGTTAGAATAAAATAAGTTTGTAACTCAAACTGGGAATGATTGGAAATGAAAAATTTTATAATTTCTGTGACTGCAATTTCGTTTTACTACGGTGATTTTAGGTTAGGTTCTGCAGAGAGTGCATAGGAACGTCATACCAAGAAAGACTGGAGCATAATGCCCAGATTCCATAAGGTACGTTAAAATATTGTCTGACTAGTAATAAGAATATTCTCTTGACATATATATATGCATTTTTAGACAAATATTTTCCAAAAATTTATTCGAGTAAAAAAATATATTTCATCGATTTTACCATTGTCACTGTTGTAATATTCTATTTAAATATCCTTTTTTTTTCAAAATTTTATACGGCCCGGCACGCGTTGGTATCAAATTGAAATATGAAATCGCCTAGGGTGCTATTAAATAAATTGAATGTCCTGTATCATTAGGTAAAGGTTTACAGTGTAAGCGTAATTTTGAAAATTTCGGTTAATTTATCCCGCTTAATTTACTTTCATAAAATAGCATCGTTAGCTATATTTACGTTAAGTACGATAAAATCGTTGTGGTAAGAAATTAAAAAAAATCGAATTTCACTATTATTTTACGAAGATGATTTTTTAATATATTTTAATGATAATTACAAAAAAAAATCATTCCATTCATATTTTGCAAGATCTAAAGCCAGTTACAGATTTTTGATTCGATAAACAATATATCGACGTCTGAGCGTCGATTTTATGTTGACCGACGCTCGACGTCCAGTCTTTTCTCGATTTGACCATAAAACTTGTCGGCTCATCAGAGGAAGTACGTGGCTTTGAGTATAAGAGACGGAAACTCGTTTACCATTTGCACGAATATACCTATATATAGTATCATAGCGCAAGTACGTACCACGTGTGTGCACGTGTTACCGACTGCACACGTGGATGCACATGCACACACGTGATAAGCAGAAATCAGAGTACGCGGGTGACACTTTAACCTTATGGCAGGTAAATTACATATAGAAAATTTTGATAACGTGAAAGATATAATACAAAAAAAATTTTAATTCAAATTTTGACTAAAATGTAAAAAAAAATTGAAAAAAAAATTTTTAATTGAAAAAAATTTAATTCAAATTTTGAATAAAATTTTTTTTTTCTGTTTTGTTCCAAGCACAGAAAAGACGTTGGCCGTTTTTAGTACCGTTGCCATATCGGTACTTTTACAAAAGAAGACTTCTCTATGTTGATACCTCTAATTGGTGCAGGTTAGGCATTGCGTCATACAGCATTCGTGTTACCATTCTCTATACTTCGGCTATTTCTATTCGCCATGTCTAACGGTAATTCCGGTCCGGTGTGCCTTTATGCTGGAAGTGATTCTTCAGCACAGTCAAGTCTGAATGTACTGAGCTTCATCGTTGTCTCAAGAGTAAACGAAGCATGTCCAACAAGACTAAAAAATAGTAAATTTCGTTGTTGAAAATTGGACATGCAGTTTCGTAATTTCAAATCAAGTACATCTGTAGAGTAATTTTTTTAGATATTAATTTTACCCTTTTTTTTAAATAACGTCAAAAATATTTCCGAGAAATTACACTCCATTTTTTTTCTTCGACTGTTAAAAAAACTTTGTGAACAATAAAGCGCCATGTTTAAATTTCCCAAATACTTGTGCGCTTACCAATCCGAAGAATCGTCTATTTTGAATATTGAGGATGTCATGTAAAAAAAAAAGTTTTCGTACATATCCTCTTCGATGGTACTTTGAATTCCGCGCAAGTCTACTGTACCGGCGGAGAATCGTAAAGTTATATTGCGTTCGCGGGTATAAGAGGTTAGGCGCCACGTTAAGGATCAGAGAAAGGTATCTTAAAAGGTCTATAATACTAAACGTAGAGTCAAGGTACAGGCAGGTATTCAAAATTTGTATCCCATAATAAAAATATGACAGTGTAAAAAAAAAGAACAATCGCACATACGAAATCACCATGAAGTCAGATGCGCCACGTAAAATAATAATAAAAGGCAATTAAAAGCAACTGGTGAAATTTGCAATGCGATAAATAAATAAAAACGTAAAATCTACTAAAGAATATTCAAGTACAAGGATCTCATGGTCCGTACAGGAAGATCCGGCTACTTCGGTCCAAGTTGTATAAGCCGCGGGACATCTGGCTGGTGTCAGGCCCGTATCAAGCGGGTGCTCGAAACCGGTACACGGATTGGAAGTCATTCGATGACTCGGCACTCGGGTGCGCAGTCCTGCGCGTGTGGACTTTCCGTTGGCGGGAAACGAAAACATGCGTACGATACGCGGTGGGAGCCTAATCGGGTTGGCGAGAGGCGACTGCGTCGTCGTTGACGTTCGCTGTGAAGAGCTAACCTAAAAGATATCGCGATTTTATTAAAATACGAGGAAAACGAGCGAAGCGCGTTTGTCGCGTCGTACGCTAACGAAGCCAGCCTCTTTCCAGTGGCATCGAAACTTGTACGATATTACAGGTGCTTTTTTAGACGAGTGATATTGATTTGGGAGAGGCTCCGTAATCGTGGCACGAATATACCGTGTAACTCGCGAAGCGTCGGGCAGCCCGATGCATCGTGGCGTCGCGCGCATCCGTAGCAGAGTAGCCGTAGAGAATCCTCCCGTCCACCCTTCGCCCACGTTGTCCCACTCGCTCTCTGAAAGTCCCCACCGCGACTGAAATCACTCCCCTCCGAGTCCTACCGCTTCGCCGTGATCCACAAGCTTTGGCCGTACCAATCCCCACCACGTAAATTCTACGAGCATAACTTCCCCCTCTACTGCCACTCGGGGCCCCCCACCATCATCTCTCACAGTGACTCCCCTCACGTCCTGGACCGCTGTCTTCTCGTATCGCTCCGTTCCGCCGCCCCCGCCAACCCAGTACCGCAGCGACCGTCGTCGTCGTCGTCACCGTCGCCGTTGTCGCCGTCGTCGCTACTGCTGCCGCCACCTCCAAACCCCACGTTCCCCGTGCCATCTAGGATCCAACGGCGGCCCTAGCTATACGGGAACGTACACACAGCTGTACCAGGGAATATATACAGCTATACCGGAGTAACGTGCAAGGGAATGAGAGTGTAGAAGGGCGGGTAAGCAGAGTCAAGGGAGAGAGTAAGAGGGACACAGAGAGTGAGAGAGAGAGAGAGAGAGAGAGAGAGAGAGAGAGAGAGAATACCAATGGTAGTAGCACTAGTGCCGGCGGTAGCGCAGCATAGTAGGTAGGTAGGGGGAAAGACAGAGAGTGAGTGTGGGACAGAAGATCGCGGTTGTGGATGGGTGAGGTGGGAGGGAGGGAAGGGGAGGGAGTTAAACCAGCGCCAGAACGAGGGAACGTGAAAAAGAGGGAAGGTTGTAGAGGAGCCCTCTGTAATACCCGTTACCCCTCGTCCAGGAGCCCAGGCACTCTCGTACCTACCTCCCGACGTTCTCCGCGCGTCCTCCCGACGCTTCCATCCCCGTCCCCGAACCCAATCCAGTCCAGAAATCCCCACTCCAGTGTATGCCGGCGACGGAAGTGTGGCAACGTCGCGGCGTCTCGGTCTTGGCGACTACTCGGGGCCAGCCGAGTCTACCGAGTTTGTCTACCGGTGCGGGTACCAAAAGAGTGGAGATAAGTCGCGGGGTTTCGAAGCCGGCATGCGAAACGTTGTCGCGACGTGAACCGAGGAAGGCCGCCGCGCGAGGATTATAATAATATATACACGCAAGCACGCACGCACGCACGCACGCACGTCCGACCAACCCGACCAACCCAACCCAACACCACGCACGCTCGGGGATATTACCGACGCATTCGGCCGTTATACCAGTTTTGCAGTTAAACTCGGTGTAAATGGCGCTCTCCGCACAGAATCAGTCGACGTCGTATGTGAACTTGTATTACTCGATCGTCCAGCGCGCTGCGACACGCTACTTTAAGGAATATTACAATTCCGGTGAGTAATAGATAATATTATACCTTTATTAATGTATATATGTATGTATTAGGATTATCAGAATGCGCCGTCGAACCGGATAGTGTGACAACCTGTCAAGAGTGTGACAACAATATCGTGTGTCGTCAATTATGTTGGCTGTGTAGTTTTACGGCTGCTCTTGTTGTTGTCATTGGTCGCTACTGTCATTTTGCTCGGTGTTTTATATTTGTTATGTAACGCTCTCTCTCTCTTTTTTTTTCCCTTTTTTTTTCTCACGCGTTAAACCGCCTTCGGTTTAGTATCTACGCGCCAAGTCAAATCCGACGGACCGTCTCGGCGCGAACGGTTCCTTGTTTTTTTGTTCTTTGTTGTCGCACTTGAATCGCAATTGCGCTTCTTCCGTTTCGAATTTTCCCGCTTATACGTATCTCCGCGCCCCCTTTGCGCCGATACTTCTCATCAGACCGGAAGTCGAGCGTACTTCCCGTCTGATTAAAACGCGGATATCGCACCGCATAGTAACGCAGAGACTAGACACGTGCGATTCCCTCATTATGATTGCAAATATTGAAAGGTTTACTTTGAACGCGTGATCGATATAGGAATAATTTTTTTTTCGGTTTTGAATTACGGCAAATCTTATTTTTCTTTCGCGTTATTACTTTTGTTATCTTCAATATCTTGCACGTGCATCCTTTTGCCCATGCTGGCGCACTATTTATGAAAAGAGTTTCCGATCGATCGGATAGCCGAAAACTTTATGGCCTATACATGGACCGCGGTCGAGTAGCGTATTGGGATTTTATCTCTGAAGTACCGTCGAGAAAGACGCGCTTTCACACGCGCTTATCTCATGTGCCGAACTTTGCTCCTTATCTCGATTCGAGTGTTTTTTCTACCGGGTGAGAAAAAAATTTCGAAAAATCAGTCAGGCTCATGCCTGTAGCGTAGACGGTCGTACAGAGCATCCATAACCCATAAGAAAAATGTGACTGTCGTACATAAGGGTCCATCGATCAAGAGACCGCTTTGACGCTCAGCAATTTTTTGAGAATAATTCAAAACTTTTTCACTATTTATTTATGACAATCTGTCACGCGCAACAAGACGCGGCAATGTAAGATTTTTTGAAAATATTTTTTCATCATATTTATCAGTTAGACAATTTTCTCGTTTTCATATCCAAGTGATTTTTTTTTATTTTTACCCGACCTTTTTTTTAATGCATTTTTTCTTCCCACATTCGTTTCGCGTTCGATTCTCTTTTCTGGTTTCGCACAAAGTCGAATCTCGTAAAAAGTTTGCCGAACATGTGTCGCCCAGACCTCAGCCGTACTGGTATTAAGTCAAGTAACGACTCGCAAAAGTAGCACGTTCTATCGGGAAGCGAATATACGAGTCGTAGTCTCGTTATCGTCGTTCGGTCGCGCCGGGTAAAATTCGACCCAGCCGATGACATATCCGTCACGAAGTAAAGGCTCACCCACACGCGAACGCGCTCCAGCACGAAATGAAAAAGTTCCGCGGTGCGTCGGTGCAATAAAATTTTAGGCAAGCAATCGCAACCGCGTTGCAACGGTTATTCACGGTTCAAATACCAAAAAAAAAGTTCTTTCCCGCCATTACGTAGCTGGCATGGCCATTTTTTCATATTTGTTCTTACCGTTTATCGATACGGGGATCGTCGATTTTTTGAATCGTATCAACGGTTTGTTCGCGAACGGTTATGGCTGTCACGATTTTTCTTGTTGTTGATTCGTATTTGACAACTGGGCTTTTTCGTGCTGCAGAACAGTGGGAGTGTCGAGTACTAGTTTTTCTTGTTGTTGTTGCACTTACTTTTTTTACTGTTGTTGTGGCTTCGGTCAATGTTATTGTTCGATCTTGTTTCCTTTTTCTTGTTCATTGTTTATGTGCACTTTTCAACGTTGTACGAACTTATTAGGATTCGTGTGATACAAGGCAGGGACAGTCTGCGCCTTTAATCTATTGTTTCTTTGTTTCGATGACAATAACAGTGTTCGATGATACTGCCCAGCTGGTGTGGCTTTCCTTTCTGGTCGTTGCGTGAATTATTCCCGGCGATTTTCGCATCGTAAACACGACCTTAAACTTCGTCGATTTGTGTGCACGTGACGTGATGACCTAAAGGAAATTTGAAGAGTTGCGCAACTTTTCCTTTTCTTGTGCTAGCAGACTAAATTCATGGAAGAGTTTGGATCATTATGTTTCTTTAATATGGCGTTGTAAGCTTTCTCAAGGAAATTGACAGCTCTTGTCTTTTCATTGGCGTTTGAACGTTAACATTTAACATTAAGGTAAAATAAAGCCTGTTTCGATACTGAATTGATTGGATAGTTTATATTTTTTTTTATGTTTAATAAAATGGCTTTTTTATTTCCGTGAAGAAAGTCGTCACCATTCACACAATAGAATTTTAAAATGAAATCGTCGCTCTATTTACTTTCATTATTTATCTCTTTTATTACTTCGCACGGTTAGAATTTTTGGACACTGGCCTAGGCTTTGTCCGCCATTAATTTCGGTCATAACAAAATTTTGATATTTGAGGTTAGGAAGCTACGAATCTGTACATTTTTTTTCCCCCATAAATTTCGTCATTTTACTTTTTGACGTGACTACGTATGCAGTCTCGAAAAGTGAAATTTTTTATCATGGAAACTATACACGTGATAATCTTGTCAAATTGTAATTTTCTATACGAAAACGATCGCAAATTTATATCCTACAATTTGTATCCAAAGACGCAATTCACTTTTTAATTCAAAAAAATATTGTATATACGATCCTCGTAGGAGGAATTTCTTACGAGATTATTATACGCTTTATGGTTACGTTATTACAATGTGTCTTTAAACTCGCGAGAATATTACAACGATACAGTCGCGACTACAGTAGAATCATTCGAGTGAAATAAGCGGATACTGAATGCGCACGTCGGACCGCGGAGGAAGTATTTCCAAAATAGGTGAATAAATTTTGAAAGTGAAATCATTGGTAACGCGCATGCGCGGGAAATATGAATAAACGCGTGAATTTACCCTTAGCAAAACTTTTAATTGGCAATGACTTTCTGCCAAAAGTGGCTTTTGGCGAATCAACGAAGGTCGATAGAAAAATTATTTTTTGCAAAAATAAAAATATTAAAAATTAGACATTTTTCAATGGATTTTGAAATGAACAAGTTTTAAAATCCGAAACTTTCAATTTCACATTTAAAGCTTTTCCACGGTAATTAATTACGCATTTGTTGTTTTACTAAATGTTGTCGAATTAATGGGGCAATTTAATATTGTCCCGCTAAAATAGCGCCTGATAAATGACAAAATTACTTCCCGCCGGCGGTTTTCACGCGTCACATTTTTCGGCGAATGGTTATCGAGACGCTTATATGTTCTTCATACGATGCGTTTCGTACGCGCGTGTAGTTCGCGGAATAATAAATTATTCACTATAATTATTGCGAATCACTTGAGTCCATACTACTCTTGTCGTTAAGAAGCCGACAGTGGTTAGAAGTGAGTGATGGGCGTTCTTACGTAAATTTATGAAATGGACTTTGCTTCTCTTTTTGGAAAAGAAAAATTAGGAGATACCTTAACTTTTTACTTATAATGGTATCGGCAGAAATTTGTATTCCTTTTCATTATCGATGGTATATTATTCTTCACAGTGGTTAAACGTATGCGTGTGCCAAATTTTTCAGTGTCAAAATGCGGATATACAATGTTCAGTTTTTGTGTAAATAGTTACATGTAACAATACAGTGAGATACGGGACTATTGTATCATAGCGAAAATTATATAAAACGATAAAACAATGACGGACGAACAATTTACTAGAAATTCGACGATTTCGGTTGAAGCCCGAATTTCGAGTAGCATTCGAATTTTTTTTCGGACAGCTATAAATTTTCAAGGCTATAGGATCGAAGAGAAACGAGAGTTTCCGCATGGGCATTCAAATTAAAAATGTCATATCGGTTCATCGCGCGAATCAAAATTCCATTCCGATTACGACGGTTGTTTCGTTTAAAGAAAAAATTCGAAAAAATTAGCGCAGATAAAGATTTTGTTAGACAACTTTTTTTTCTAAATTCCCACATTCTCCAAATTTTTAAGCGACTTCGGTACGATTTTTTTGTCATTTAAGAATTTTCGAAATCTTATCTCAACTCTGGCACATGGTCCGTGCGGGAATAAAGCCATAAGGATAGGAAGAAAAATCGGTAACCAAAGAATGTTCAGTACCTGGCGAATGAAAAATGTATGCGTTCCCGGACAAGAAAATGTTAAATTTATCGTAAAAGCAATTCAAAGAAACGTCCGACGACTGGTATAAATTTCTTCCGGACCTTTCGATGTCTGTCAAAAAAGAAAAGAAATGCGAAAAGCATTCAGGCAAATTTTCAAGCTACGTAAAAAAAAGAGAGCCGTGCCGTGATAAAAACATGAACGGAGTGGGTCTCCAGCCTCGAAACCGACCCGCCCGTTTAACCCTAAAGCCGCTGAGCTCGGAAAATCTTTAAAAATCCGACGGTCAGACGAAAAAGATATCTGACGCGCATGCGCCCCGCGCATGCGCACTGCCGCGAGTCATCCCCCTCTGCCCCTCCGCCGCGCAGTCGGTGCGCGCCATCAAAACAAATCGTAAAGACGTCGTCCACCGCCACTTCCACCTCCACCGTCGCAGTATCCATCGCCGCCACCACCACCGTCCTTTTATACCTATATACGTATGCCGATATACACATATCATCAAGGATATGCGTACGTCGAAGTCGAAGTGGACCTGCTTAACCTAACCTATATGAAATCTTCGGGACGTGACCGTTTCTCCTTTCTCGAGGATCAACAACAAAAATCACAAGACCACATTGGGAATCGTAGAAAAATAAAAGAAAATTTATAGAGGAGCGACTCCTCGGTCAGCTGCGCAACTTATTTCTCGTTGAGGCAGGTGCGGATGCACGCGGGTTCGTCCTGGGTCTTCTTGTCTCGTTCTAAAAACCCGTACGAAAAATTTTCTCTTGGCTCTCGGGTCGCCCGTGCTTACAGCGAACAGACTTTTCACTCGCTTGAACTCCTAAGCGTCGTACTTAAGAATCTCTGCAGCTCTCGGCTCTTCCATTCAGGGACACGATGCAGTCTGTTGTTTGCGGACTTTTCTACGGCAACGCACCTGCGCGAATTGTTCGTTACCTTTGCCGACAAAAAATTCCCGAATTTTCGCTGGGTCTGCATTTTTGGGACTCCTGAGGAATTTCGAGTAACATGAAAAACGATGGATGGTTATAAAAATAAACAAAGCCTCGAATTTTCGTTGCATCCTCTTTTTGTGGCAACACGTGCAACTTTTACGAAAATTCTTGCGCGATATAATAATAAAAGTTGGAGATTCCAAGTTTCTTTCGAGCGGAATAACAAAAATATTAAATTATTCAATTTTTGTTATCTATTTTCATTGTTAAACATTCGTTCCGTTTGCCTCTGCATCTGCCGCGTGTGATTATGCAATTTTTCAAAATTATCCCTCTCCCCTTTTTTTTCGTAAATTTTGAAAATAATATTTTTTTTTATAATTTAATACATTACACTTGTCCTATATGCAGGTGCAACCGGGTGCGTATCTATAGGAGTCCACTGGGAGGCTTGGTCGCAGTGTCGAATTTCAAGGTGAAGCAGGCAAAGCGCCACACACATGCGCCTCGCACACTCGCTCCCACGCTAAATCTGTGTCCCACGTCGTCACGTGCATTTCGTATGCACTTTACGTGTGCGCTAGTAGTGCAACAAGGTGATGCGAAGGTTATGCCGAGATAAACTTCACCGCGAACTATAGAGCCATCGAGATACCTATTAGGTTTCCTATTGGGATCCCGAAGTTACCGCGGCGACTACGAAACAGGTTTCGTTCTTTTTCCAACTTTTTTCTTTTTTTATCTTTTCTCCTTTTTTTTCCTTCTCTCTCTTCTTTACCTCGCAAACCACAGCTTTCACGGAGTTTCCTTGTAATTGCATGCTAACGCTTATCTGGTGCAATTCTTCCGGGATGTAGCTCCATTTTTTCCCAGCATAAATCGAATCTGTGAAATTTTTGCAAATTCCCAGGAAAAACAATTTCTTTTGCAAAATTAATATTTTACAGACACCATTGCGTACAACCGCTGCGTGTAGTAGTTGAGGAATTTTTGAATTCGAATATTTCCCGCGCATTCGTAAATTGACGGTTACTGATTTTTTGTAGTAAAAAAATTTTGAATTATTATATAAAACGTGATTTTAACGGTTTCGACGAAATACCGTTTTCACGTCGATACGACGATGGGTTTATTGACTTTTTCGAGTGAAACGGTCAGTCCGTCGGCTGACGTCGTTAACACCAGTAATCCAGGTCAAGCGGCGGATTTACCCTTGCACCGTTGAGGATAACGAGTGGCAGTATCTTTTCGTAGAAAGAGAACCGAAAAAAGGGAGGAAGAAGTACGCGAAGGACGCAGAGGAAAATATTCTGATTATAAGTAGCAACCAAGTCATTTGACATTATGCACGATTTCACTTGACTTCCGTCGGCCATCTTTTTTTCTTGACTCAAACGCCCCGGGTCGTTTGCCTCTCCTCGAGATGTAATGCAAGTTGTCGTTCGCCGAGATGCAGGAAGGAAAGAGACGGAGGAAAAAAATGAGTAAAGCTCGAATATCACGAGACGCCGCCACTTCATTCTTGATTCTTCACTATCTTTTCTTTTGTTCTTCGTTCCGAGTAGCTTCGTGGATTAACTGCCGAGTGCCGGTACCTGCGCATGCGCAGAAAGGTCACGTGTCCGAATAACCATACGATTGCCAGCGACTCGACGTAGGAAAAAAATTTAGAAAAATCTATTTTGCTTTTTGTTTTCGAAACAAAATGGCGTTCATACATGCGTATACGGCATATTTCTCACGCTCGTTTCTGCTATTTTATATCTAACAGGGATAATTACTGTTATCGTTTACTCTGACGTGGCATCTGGGACGCCCAACTGTCTTGTACTACTTGGATGGTAATAAGAGCCATTTTTACGTATACGTAATACAAAAATTAAATGATCAGTGAAGCGGACGAATTTTCAGCTGGGATGTTATTTTATACACTCTTATCGATCGGGGTCGAGTATGAATTAATTATGATTCGGTGATTTGTCATTTTGATCGTGACGTAAATCGAGTCTTATCGGGCGGCAAGAAAGGATCTTGATTATTATACGAGATCGATAATCGATAAGTGGATTATATGGTTTTATTTGATAAAAAATTGTTACTTCCGGTCAGTCTTTTTTTTTTGGCAAATTTGTAAAAAAAAATAATTACAAGCGAAATTTCTCGATGCATTTTTGACTTTTTTAATCTCTTTTCTTTTATCAATCGCCTCCATTCACGTGTTTCTGCACTCTGTAATTTCACTTGTAACGACGTACAATCTTTAAGCTGAGTACACACCTTGCGTATATAATCTGGTATGATTCAAGCGTAGTGTCCATTTCCGATTCTACGATACTTCATTATCTCCGACTGTCTATTTACATGGTAATTTCGTAATCCACGGTGAAATGTCGCTATCTATTAATTTCAATTATCCAATTACTTTTATACGTTCGGTCGTTTTCGACGAACCGCGTGTCACTTTTTTGTTTTACAGCTGCAAATTTAACACGGGGTTTAGTTATTTTCAATGGGAACGTCAAACGGAAATATTGATAATTTGGTTTAAAAAATTCGAAAAGAAAAATTGATTCCATTTCACGCAGAACGAACAAAAAAAAAAAAAAATAATAATGGTCTCGCGTCCAAAATTTTAATTTCACTCGTTCAATTTGTCTCGCGCCGAGAGGCATTGAAAAATTCGAAAAAATTGAAATTGCCACGTTAACTCGGCTTAACCGCAATCAGCTCTTGCAGCAAGCGTAATTAAGAGAAGGCGAACGATTCGGTAACTTAATCAGCGTGTCACGTGAATCCAAATAATGAATAATAATGATAGCGGGCTAATCGTTGCCAGTGTCGTTCCTTACGTAACGTGTTAACGATAGCGCGAAATGTTTATTCGCGAAAAACAGCGATCGACCTACGGCCGGACTCAACGTTACAACGACCAGCGTCATTTTTGGCGTATCCAGGTTATCCCATGTAAAGAACCTTGGAAATTAGTGTGATCGATGAAAAATAAATTTGCATATTTATTGATTCGTTTATCTCGGCAAAAGTGAACGAAAATTTGAAAAAAAAGGATCCGAATAAGTTTTGCGACTTAATGCAAACGATCCATCAGCTTTTGCGGTCTTAATTTTTCCAGTGTCAAGAGACGATAATAATTGCACTGACGAGTAACCGCATTTTATTAATTCTATTTTTATTTTTTGTCTTTTGACAATATAATTCATCCGTCCAATCGAGTCCTCTACGCATCTATACACTAACCTATTTTTATCTTTACGGATAATCGAGTCAAAAGTCTCATCAGACTTTAAGGCTGCTGTGTGGCTGGAAAAAGTTTCGGTGTTGACTCGAGCGTTGACTGGTGGCGAAAGTACGAAGCTCTGACAGGGGCGTCATGGCTGCAATATTTGGGGGTTCCTTCGCAAAGGGTGCGAGACACCTCACAAAATTTTCAAGAAATTTTTTTTTTATTATATTGTGCGCGTTCAGTACTTCGACTCCATTACTTTTCTTATCATGTTGCTTTTACAGTAAAGAGAATTCCATCATTTTTCATTTCCGCTCTAAAAATATTGTTTGTTATTATTACTGGTAGCTAAACACTGATATTTACAGTCAAAGGTGCAATTTTTGAAGCTCGAGATAATTAAAAATAAAACGTGCGATTTTCATTGAAGATTGCAATTATATATCTGTGAATTAGTATAGATTTGGTAACTTTTATATTTAAATGACGTAATTATGCGAATTGGGTGGAAAAAAGAAAGGTACAAGTGAGACTCGAACCAGCGACCCCGCGCTCGCTAAGCTAGAGCGTTACCGGGTGCGCTAAACGACCTGCTTAAATATTTTGACACATTTGATGTACATACGGACTCACAAAACTTCAAAGTCAACCTTCTTGAGAATTTTTGAATATGACATAGACCTGCTTTGGGAAATTACTATTCGAATTCTCAACTTCATGTACCATGAGTAAAAAAGATTACGAAAATCCGATTGTTGAAGACTCCTTGTAAGAAATATTCTAATATTCCGTTACGTTTGCAATATTAGTCTTTGCGACAGTCTATGCTAATTATTAAAAAAATAATAATATAATGCATACAGATTGTAGAAAGTTTTGGTACTAAGCTGAAAAAGTTATATTTAATTTGTTATTCACAATTCACAATTTAATTGTCTAAACTCAGCAGCCTTAAAATTAGTACATACACAAAATATATACTGTACACTTAACCTGTAGATGATTTTTCGACTCTATATCAGTCATCACATTTTTTCTACAGACTTTAGCATACGCATTAAAAACTCAAAGTCAAAAACTGTACTAGTTAAAAAATCCGTATGTCCTCCAAAGATTAACGTTGCTTACATAAGGTTCAACGAGAACTGGACGATAAAGCAGTTTTGCGTAATTCCTTCTTCAGTGTCCACAGCGCCAGATCTGCCGTTTCGATTCGTATAACGGGCGAAATGTAATCAGAAAAAAAATGAATTCTTGAGAAATATAATTGCACAGAAATTGCATCGATACGTGAATTCACTCTTGTAATACTTACGTAATAAATATGACAATTCCAATATCTGTATATACAGGGTGTCCATTATAAAAGTAGGCATCGAGTTTTCCACCAACTTAATAGCGATTGAAAAATCCGTCCTGCAACATTTGTTCAGAAGGAGAAACACACGAAGAAATAATGTCCTCTGGTCCAGGTTCATATATGGTGATACTGTGGAGGATGGAGCAGTTTTTAAAAAAATGGAATCTTAAATTTTTATTTTTTCAAAAAAAATGTTTTTTTTTTTCAAAATCTACAAGTTTTTCAAATATATTTTTTTTCTCATAAACTCGTAAACAAGATGATCAGCCACAACGAGATAATTGTCAAATAGCGGTGATTCAATTTTTCAATTACTAAATTAAATTCAACAACACACGAGGAGACAAAGTCTTCCGCGCCCCGTATGCGTAGGAGAGTAAGTGACGTCACAAAGATAAGGTCTCCGCAGCACGTCACTTCCGGACTATTTTCTCACCCCAGACCTTCTCCTCTCCTGCGGACATTCCTGAAAGATGCTGCTTCACCAGGAGCCTCCGACGACTAGGGGTGACGCGATGAACGTAATTGCTAATACGTGCAGAGTAATTCAAAAAAAAATATTTTTAAAGCCGGCGCAGAGTTTCCAAAAGGGGGTCAGAGTATGTCTAGCTCTTGATGGTGGTATTTTTCAACATCCTTTAACCGCAGCCTCTTCCCCCTCCTGGCCCCTCTGCCCCGACGCGCTCGTAGAGAGGGTTTGGAATGCGAAAATACCGGAAGTGACGGGATTGTCGCAAATACGTTAGAAAAATATCAAAATCGTTCTGTCTGTTTCCGTAGGATATTTACCTATCGATTATCAATCGTAAAAATGTATAAAAAATATATTGTCCAAAAAAAAAAAAGAAATGACCGAATCTTTTCCCCTTGCTCTCAATTTTCGTACCAAAACTTTCTTCTCTCTCTCTCTCTTATTTGTCTCTTTTCACGACAGTCACGATTTTGAGATCCGTCGCTCCATTGAGTTTCGAACTTCCGCCAACAAATAATACTGAGCCCGACTTTCGAATCGCATCGCGAGCGAATTAAACGCTTTTACCAAGATGACCATTGTGGCAAGAGATCAATTTCCATGGAGCCAATAGGGAGAGAGCGCGATACAGAGAGGGAGGGATAAAAAACAAAAGGGAAACAAGCAAAAAGGCAAACAGAGAAATAGCATATCCTTAAGATTTTCGCAATAATGGCAATTCCACGCTTCGACAACTTTACAAAGTTTTACGAGAGACCTGACTGTGCATAGCCACGTGTTTGCGCGAGTCTGAACAAGTTAGTACAGCGATATATATATATATATATATATATACAAACACAGCCATTCATACAGTATAGCGCAAGCCAGACGCTATAGTCCCTGCAGCTAGTATACAGAACGTAAAGCAATGCGTATGACGTTCTATAGTATAATATAGTACCCCCTATAACATACTATAGTACGAATCAAGTGCACGACGTAGTATTTCTAACGTTAACTCGAGAAACGTAAATACGTACTTCGATGACGTTTCTTGGTCGATTAACATTGCCGTACTGGAAAATACTTGACACGTTACTCGGAGAGAGCAAATATGAGTCGTTGATGATCCTGTATATCGTTATTCTCAGTTGAGGAGGTTGAACGGCGCACATGCGATGCACATGCGATGCGCCATTCGGCGTCGTCTTCGGAACGGGGAACCGGTCGTCGTTGAGACGTCATTGGATCCTCGAGTCACCGGGGGAATACCTTGATGATTATTATTAGTATAATTAATCATTGTCTACCTTAGTCAAGAAGCAGTAGAAATATTATTGCGAACCGGTAAGAGTCTTTGGTATTGTTTTTTTTTTTTTTTTTTTTTTTTTTTTTTTTTTTTTTTTTTTTTTTTTTTTTTTTTTTTTTTTTTTTTTTTTTTTTTTTTTTTTTTTTTTTTTTTTTTTTTTTTTTTTTTTTTTTTTTTTTTTTTTTTTTTTTTTTTTTTTTTTTTTTTTTTTTTTTTTTTTTTTTTTTTTTTTTTTTTTTTTTTTTTTTTTTTTTTTTTTTTTTTTTTTTTTTTTTTTTTTTTTTTTTTTTTTTTTTTTTTTTTTTTTTTTTTTTTTTTTTTTTTTTTTTTTTTTTTTTTTTTTTTTTTTTTTTTGCTTACGAGGAGAATTATGATTCGACGTGATAGTTTCGTTGCGCTTGTGTTCCATGGGATGACGTTGCAGTGTGAAATATTTTATTGATGGGAGACCACGTACGTTTTATTGGTGGTAATTTTTGAATGACTCTATGACAATTATTTTGGATTGTTGATGATTTTGTTTGCTAGTGACTTTTATTTATTTATTGTATCTTGGTAGGTTTTATGATCTAGGGAAAATTTTTTAGCGGATTTAAAAAAAATTTTTTTTTTGATTATTTTGACTTCTCACTTTTTCATGGCAAATTTCTCTTGTCTTTCTGATTTTTTTCAAAATATCAGCTGATTCGTTGATTAATCGCTAATTACTTAATGCCAGGTTTTAAAATCATCGTGGTATGTCTTGTTAACGTAAATTCATGCACGTTTTCACTGTTTATCTTATATCCGAATATATTCTTGACTTAGATCAAGTTGGTCTTTCGTATAATTGAGGAAAATATGTTATCGGCGTAAAATGATACTTTCGAGACACAACAATACTTAGAAACGAGTTACAGCATAGTAACGATTAAATAAACTGTGAGTCATTCGTGTTAAACGCAGGGCGATCAGTATTGCGTAACAATGAGAATAAAGTATTAAAAAGGCCATTCAACAATATGCCACCTGTCTCTGCCGCAATTCTAGGAAATTTGTAGAGTACCAACAGTAGCGAAAATGGTACCGATTCATTAATTTGCATTAAAAGTATGAATATATGGGCCGTATTAAATGCAATTGCGAAAAAGAAAATGCTCGAGGAAAAAGTTTGAGGTCTTAAAAATTTACCGACAAAGACCTGTGGAAAAATTGTGCGAATGAAAAATTGTTTTTAAAAACTTATACACGTGCGTGCAAAATGTCAAGGGAAATGTGAAATTCGCAATATAATTGCAATTGCAGTTGTCTTCTTTACTCCGTCCAGAAATGGTATTTTTCGCAAGGGCACTTGTACGTTAGAAACGGCTATTGGCGCTTGGTACGTAGAGAGGGAAATTTTGGCAGTGTTAAATTTTCAAAATTGTTGCCAAACATTAGCTACACGCTTGTTTACCTATGTGTACAATTTCAATGGACACGCGAATATACGGATTGGCAGTGCATCCGAGGGAATTTCGTTAAACATTGCTTCAATGCAGAATCCCGCGTGGATTATACCCACACAGCAAATAATTTGCCGCCAGGAATACCACTGTAAACTACTACTGTCGCGTGCGAGTATATATCGAGTCGGTAGCAATTACGGTGCGTAATGCAATTCCGGAATATTCGTCATGCGTGAATGTGTGCACGTAAATAGTACTACGCGCCCACGTACATAAAGCGCGTAGACGATAATAGACGACAGTTTGTCGCGCGTGCGCAGATTTTGATATATAAAAAAAACACAATACTGAAAAAAAAAAGAAAATTGCCAATTACGTCCTGTAACCTTAGATAGATTTGACTCCCATTTTCGACCAAAGATTCCGCATACAATAATATCAGTGATATTTGAGTTTCTATGCTGATAATGGATTGTTATTATTTTCCGTTGATCATTATTGCTTTGTAAGTTGATCTGTGACTCGAGCAGACGCGACGGTCTTGAGTGACTTTTTTTTGTGTTTGACGCCACGCGCACAGAATTTTATTGGAGTTGAATTATTTTGGATATTCTTGTACAGGTAATGTCGAGCGTTGTCCGGCCGATACGTCGAAAGTTGAAGAGTACGGCTCTGGCGTCGTTACTTGATAAGCGGCAATTGGTGGATTTGCCGTGAAAGCGAAAAATATTGTCCGGGGTTCCGTGTGGGCATTAAAGAAAGAAAAAAGTTTTGGCATAAAAAAAATAATTTGACGAGTCGCATTTATCAGCGTCGAGGTACGTTTTTCTTTGTCGTTTATGGAATTATCTATAATCGTTTCGTTCGCCTACACATCATAGAGTACGAGGAGCACATGTCAAAAAGATTAATTGATGTGGGCGAAAATGTTTAAAAAAATATAGGTTATGTCTTGGACTAGAAAAGAAAAATTATATTCAAGAATAGAATCGATCGGACCTTAGATCGTTGATTAATGATCGCTGATCCATTTATTCATTTCGATATATCACAGTCTCTTCCGTTATCACGTATATCCTGATGCAAAAACGAAAATCAATGTGTTCCAAAATTGGCTGCCAGTAACTGCCATCATTGTATCCTTGTTTATGTATATGCACCTGATAGAGACACGAGCATTCTCGTAAAACTGGTAGTAAATTTCGGAACGTACCTAAATGTCATATCACGTACCTTGTCATATTAAAAAAGAGCTATACATACTGAAAAATCAATGAGCGAACACTCAGTGTGAATTACGACAAACGAAAAGCAGCACACGAGGGTCAATTGAGAAAACTGAAATTTATAAACACGCAAGCCTGCATTGTACCCAGCGTTCATTTCTCGATCATCCATTTAGAAAGTTGCGTCGATAAAGTCATCAAAGTATCGAGGCCCCGCCGATAAATTCTACCGCCGTATACGTATTGCATACGTACACACGTAACACACACTGAATGATAAATGGACGGTAGTAAATCGGCCATTATTCCAGTAACAAGTACTGCCAACCGTGCTGGTAATACGTTAATATCCATCGCGTAGAGTTAAAATCGAAGCAAACTTCAGATCATCGAGCCCCCTTAAACGAGCGTCATCAATTTACTTCGTAAAATGCGAAAGCATATTCACTCGAGTACGTGCGGTTAACAAAATCACTCATAACCTCTCGCGTGAGCGTTGCAGTAGACACGCAAGCCCGTTAACGTTCGTACGTACGTGCGAGCACACTGCTGCGAACTTGCAGTCACGAGAATTTTACGTACAACACACAACGGCGTCTCTCGTGATTCCCGGAGAGAGACAAACGCGACGCACGAGAGCCGTAACCGAAAATCACAAGTCTCGACAGGATTCCGTCGGTGTGTTGACAGGACAGCGCGTTCTGTTGGGTCGGATCGTATACGTGGTGGCTACTGCGCATGCGCCCAGACGCCTTACCGAAAGTCCCTAGAGAGCGCGCGCTTCTCAAAGATCAAATTAACCGTCGTCCACGCCGGTATCGCTCGTTTAGGAATCCCGCTGCCGACGCAGGATTGATTTGATCTTTTTCCGCAGGCTAGATCATTGGGGCGGGCGTGGGGTTAGCTAGTGAGTGATAGTCGAAGAGGACGAGGGAGGGCAAAGACTACGCGGATGAGGAGGAGGAGGACGGCTCGCGAGGATGGCTATAAACTTCTCGGCCTCGTTTGCGGCTTGCCTCGCGGCCGGGCTCAAGGTGCCCCGCCAAATCATGTACTGCATCTCACAGGGTAAGCCTCATACCATAGAATATCATCTGACGATACTCCTTCGCAACGTGGCTCTAATCGCCGCTAGTTGTGATAACAGAACGAAACTGGGAGTAGGGACACACCCCTCTGTTAACCGTATGGTATATGATTACTAATATTTTTAATTATAAGACTAATTATTAGTAACTGTTATACCACGCAAGGGAAACTAACAAGCTCGACAGAAGAACGGTGAAATAATTTGAATGAAGAATTTTTTTAATAAATAACTTTTCTTTTTCAATTATATTTTTTTGTGACGTACGATTGAAATATTGCGATTGTAAATAATGATTCGTTTTTTTTTTGTCTATGCAATACTGACTTTTTTTGTTAAAGAATTATGAACTTACGGTATTCTATAATGTGTTTTAAGAATTTTATCGGATAATCGATATATCGAGTTTCGGTGGAATTGTTGAATTCACTAGTTTCGCGCTGAATTATTTAGTTATCAGGAATTTTGCAAAAGTATTTTACATACGGGTATTAACTGGTATCGTGGAAAATCGATATAAACGTATTCTCGATGAAGCAGCTCAATCGCGTTTCACTTGCCTTTGCCAGTCTACGTCGTGGACGTTACGGGATTAGGTAGTGGGATGACAATTAGGCGTTTGGTTTCATGAAAATTTTCAAAGGAGGGCGAAACTACGTACCGACTGTAAATACAGAGACAAGGCAGATTGATCGTTCGAAATTAGCGACAGTCGAGGAAGTTTCCATTTCGCGACTGCAACGAGATAGAGAAACAGGCTTGATTCATTGGTACGAGGCAAAAATCCAAAGTGGGAAGGAATTAAAAAGAAAGTGTGTGAGCCATTTTTTTGTTCATAATAAAAACGAGCAAATTAACTTTCATCAAGATAAAAATGGCAATTCGATAATATTTTATTAATAAATAGCATCAATAAGCTTGTCGTAAAAATAATTCGAAATTTTTAACCTGGCATTGATAACTATACATTTTATTCAAATTATTTAAAATGTCACGTGTGTCCATGCACGACTTTTGAATGACATTAATTCAAAAATCATCATAATCTCTCACAACTTGACTCCGATGATCCGCCGTCGCGACGCTTTTTCCTAAATGATCGAGTACCTCGCGGAACTCTTAAGCCTGGTACACACGGTATACGAGCAAGTATAGTCTGTCCTTGGTAGAAGCATCGAATGATTCTTCGTCAATTAGGATGAAATTTATTTTAATGCTTAACGTGTAGAATAGATGGAGACACGTGTATATAGTAAACTGACAGTTATTGAAAGCTAAACGTTAAGCATGAATTAAAAAAAAATTTTTTTGAAATTTTTTTGGAAAATTTTTTTCAGAATACTGCACGGTGGCCGTTTCGGTGCATCTTGTCATTTATTCGACTGGCAAACGATGCAATGGGATTTTCGTGTTATCGATGATTCCACGTTAATTAAGCATTTCAAGCGTAATACGCCAATCCCATTCGATACTGTCAGTGTGTACCTGCTTATCGTATTGTATTGGCAGGCCGACGTGCATATAGGGATCGTCATGGGGATAAAATGCATCATTGATTATGTCAATGGAGTACGATGTGAAATAACAATTTGAGATTGTTGTTATAAGTAACTGTTGATAATTGAATTAAAATTTCGAAAGCGTATAAAACGGGAAATTAATTTTGAAAAAAAAACAATTTCATTACTTTTTATTACTCCTATTACGTCATTTTTATTTTTAATTACGTCAAAAGCCACCCCCTGCTCTCTTAAGTTGAAACTCGCTGTGTGAAAATCGGTTAACTTAGAATACAGCAAATAAATTATTAATTTGGAGAAAAAGTCACCAGAGGTCGTACCGAGCAACGATTACGGCAGCGTCCGTAACTATATTTAAATCATGTACGTTAATTCAATATACCATACTGAATTAGCAGTGGTAACAGTAGCAGATTGCAGGTAGCAGTGGATAACATTGCCTTTGGCAGTACTTCCATTTTTAATTTTGACTCCTTATTTTGTGCCTTTCGGATATATATTATTTCTTTAATCGTTATTATTTTTTTTTCATAATTATTTACATACATTCCCAGGGCGGTCCTGTCGTTCGTAAGGCATCGCGTGCACAATGCGCGACGCGTACAACAGCAATTAGAAATTCAAATGAGCGGCGGGGCTCTTAATGAGAATGATTGTTTACACGGGCAATCGGATTCGAATGTATTAATCAAAATTTCCGTGAGCATCTCAGTGAAGGCGCGTCGAGGGCGTCAGCCGTGAAAACCGGTTCTCCGATTGGGTCCTACGTAAAGTCGAGAAGGGCCCCGTTGGTAGACACCCGAAGACAGAATGAGAGCGAGAGAGAAAGAGTGAGAATGCAGACGCACCGAGAAAAAGGATGCTTGTAGTAAACGGAAATGAGAGAATGAGAGTGAAGAGTGTGCGTGAGAGAAAGAAAGGGCCAAAATTAAAAACAAAAATTTCTCAGGTCATACCCAGTCACCGACCAATCGGTACGCTCCTGTCTGATTGCAGATACTGGCGCGCCATACGTGTTATATAAGGACAACATGGAGAGACCCCAGGGTCAGTGGGGCCCGGGGCCGGGATCTCTCCAGGACGGTGGACTGTACGCCCAGCAGCAGCAGCAGCAGCAGCAGCAACAACAACAGCAGCAGCAGCAGCAACAGCAGCAGCAGGGTTCCTCCTCGTCGGGTAGTCCGCAGCAGGCCTGCGGTCCTCCGGTCGAAGGGGAGAGCGGTCCTCCGCCCTCGCTAGCATCACCCGTACCTTCACCGTATCCTTCGGCACCTCCCGAGTCTCAGGCCCTAACTCCACCCGACGACGACATTCAGTCGAGTCAACCCACACCTCAGCAGCAACAGGTCCAGCAACAGCAGCAGCAGCAGCAGCAACAACAACAACAGCAGCAACAGCAGCAGCAGCAAGTACAGCAACAACAACAGCAACAGCAACAACAGCAGCAGCAACAGCAGCAACAACAGGACCACTCGCCTCAGCAGCAACTGACACCGCACGAGGTGGACCGCGGAGAGTGCTTTCCGGGAAGTGGCGAGCTCCAGCAATATCCCCAGCATTACTTCAAAGAGGCTAGGCCGCATCCCTCACCATCCGTGCCTCCTCACATGCTCACTCCCGGGGGCTTCTCCGCCTTGCACTACCTGAAGCAGCCCGGAGTCATGCTCACGTCCCTCGGTCAGGGCGATGGGGGACCTAGTCTCGACGCTCACCAGTACGCGAGCCCGGGGGCCCCGAATATGGCTACGGGCCTGCCCGACATTGTACAGCAAAACGGGAAGCCCAGCAAGGGCGCCAATAGCGACCTCCGGCTCTTCAAGTGCTTGACGTGCGGAAAAGATTTTAAGCAAAAGTCAACTTTGCTACAACACGAGAGGATCCATACGGACAGTCGGCCGTACGGGTGTCCGGAGTGCGGCAAGCGGTTCAGGCAACAGTCGCACCTTACGCAGCACCTGCGCATTCACGCGAACGAGAAGCCCTATGCTTGCGTGTACTGCGAGCGCACCTTCCGTCAACGCGCCATCCTCAACCAGCATCTGCGCATCCACTCGGGTGAGAAGCCATACCAATGTCCGGAGTGCGGAAAACACTTCCGTCAGAAGGCGATCCTGAATCAGCACGTCCGCACACACCAAGGCGAGCATTTCTCTCTGCCTCCCAGACTCCCAGAGGGCGTCCGCCACCACAATCATCAATACCATCGCCACCACCGCCACCACCGCCATTATCACCACACTGACCTTTCATCCCTCACTGCTTTTTCTTCTTCTTCTTCTTCTTCTTATTCTTCTTCTTCCATTACCGCAAATGCTACGTCTATTATTTCTTCTACCGTTGCTACTACCACTTCCGCCGCTGCTCCAACTGTTAATAATTCTTCTTCTCTCTCCTCTTCTTATTCCGAATCTTACCGTCAACATGGTCAGCACGCGAATCGACACATTGACCTGGTCCAGTCCTCGCGCGATGATCACGGGTACCAATTATTACCGTTATCAAAGTCTTCATGGAAGCAAGATGCGGCTAACCTTATCGCGTCGGACCCCCCCATGTCCCTGACCCAACTGACCGGTAACTGTCATAGTCCTCGGAGTCCTTGCCGTTCTAGAGGTAGAAAAGGTAAACGCAACGGGTCAATGGGTACAGCGACGAGCAAGACCAACCGAAGGGTAAGGATGGTTGAGCTGGACGCGAGGGCGCTGGTGAGCTGTGAGATAGAGGAGCCCCCTGTCGTTCCTGATATCATCGATTCCAATCACGATCATCATGATATCATTGATTTCTCATACTTTCTTTCCTCCGTATGCGAGTCCATTATTGAGTACTCCACCGCTCCACCGAGCACCAACGGCACCGATATCGATACCGATATCAATATCAATACCGATACCACCTCGGATAACACCGTATCCTACTCATCCGCTCTCTGCAAGGCTATCTCTGCTGCTCTTCCCAACCTAACGATCACTCCCATCGTCAAGACCGAGCCCTTGTCAGTTACCGAACCACCACCTTCACGTCCTTCCAAGATGTGTCCTTCCGTCAAGGTGGAGGAGGTGGACCTCAGCCTATCATCAGACAGTGATTACTAGGTCTCTCGATTTCACTACCTCTTAACTCTCTTTTCGTGTGACTGTCTCTTCCATTTCTTTTTTTTCTCTTTCTCTTTTTTCCCTCCTTCAATCAGACTCCATCGCTTCTCAGTTCTGTACTGTCTCCGTCTATCTCTCTTTCTCGTGCACTCGCTGTCTCATCTCTTGATGTCTCTTACTCTCCGTTAGCCTCTCATTGTCTGTCTCTCCGACTGGTCCGACTGTCGTAGCTGAACTATTCACCCGGACGAACGAAACGCTCGGCCGCTGGTGCCGTTATCACGCGTAACGATAATCGCGATCGAGAGATCTCGCCGCAGTGCAAAAAGGAAGAGTTCGCCAGTGCAAAATTATTTAACCACCCCCCCACTCCCCGCCCCTCCAGACGCGATCCTTAAAAATCGGACGTTGCGATTAGTATTTATCTCCGCTCACTCTTGGCCATTGAATGCTGAACCGATCTCTAGAACGTGTATAGAGTCTCTAATCCTGCTCTCTGTCTTGCCGTTAGAATTCTCTATTTAATTTCAATCTAATTCCGATTCCGTTTCCGGTTTCGTCACCGTGTCCGATGATCGTCCATACCGGTCGATTCATGGACTTGGCGACCGATCGTGTAACCGACCAAACGACAAAGCTCCTACCACTAGTAACGGGGAGGTACCGATCTGTTATCTAAATTGTACGTTATCGTTACAGACGTGAGTCCGCACCTGATCTTCAAGAACGGGATGACGCCGACCCTCTGGCCCCAGGACGTGCCATTTCCGCCGGAAGAGGGAAAGGAGGAAGTGGCCTCGACCTTCGGCGATACGGATACGCAATCCGGTGCGTTCAGTCCAGCCCCGGATGCGAATTCCATCCAGTACCCGGCCTACTTCAAGGACCCAAAGGGCGGAAGCCACGCGGTCTTCGGCGCAAGCGCATCCGGTAGCTTCGGTGCTCTTCAGTACATAAAGCAGCAAGGTGCCAGCAAGGGCTGCCTACCCGACGTGATACAGCACGGTCGTTCCGCGGGGATGCCCCTCTACGTTCGCTGTCCGATATGCCAGAAAGAGTTCAAGCAAAAATCCACCCTGCTCCAGCACGGCTGCATACACATCGAATCGAGGCCGTACCCTTGTCCGGAATGCGGCAAGAGATTCCGTCAGCAGTCCCACCTGACCCAGCACCTGCGCATACACACGAACGAGAAACCGTACGGTTGCGTCTACTGCGGGCGTAACTTTCGTCAGAGGACCATCCTGAATCAGCACCTGCGCATTCACACCGGCGAGAAGCCCTACAAGTGCCAGCAGTGCGGCAAGGACTTCCGTCAGAAGGCCATCCTGGATCAGCACACTCGCACCCACCAGGGCGATCGGCCCTTCTGCTGTCCGATGCCAAACTGCCGGCGGCGGTTCGCGACCGAGCCGGAAGTCAAGAAGCACATCGACAACCACATGAACCCCCACGCGGCGAAGGTGCGTCGCAACTCAAGCGGCGATACCAAACCACCCAGTACGCCTTCCGGTCTGGGCCCGGTACCGGTGCCGCGTGGACTAACGCCGACGGTCGTCAAGCCGGAGCTATACTTTCCCCAGTGTTACGCGCCAGCCTTTAATCATCAGCCGCCCGTCTCCACGGCTCAGTTCCCGGGACAGACGAATGGCGTTGCAGTCGCGGCTGAATTCAAGCCACCCACGGGGCTGCCACCGCAGTGACTAACCGTCCATCCTGCCGCCTACTAGCAAGCAGGAATACCGCTGAGATTTCAGCGATGCTTCGGAGCAGCCGCGCTCACCGGTAGCGCCACGACCGGGTCCGGCCCGACGGCTGCAGCCACGGCGGCCGCCGCGGCTGCGTCCTTGCACCGATGCCAGCCGATTCAGCAACAGTACCCGTGACATTTACCGTGCATTTACTAGGACCTTTCTTTTATTTTTATGTTTTCTCTGGCTCTGTGTATGTGCGTGTGTGTGTGTGTGTGAGAGAGAGAGAGAGAGAGAGAGAATGTGTAATCGACGCCTCCGCATCATAACTATTTACATGCATCCGTACGTACGTGCATACATATATGTATACATACCTACCCCAATCAGTGTATCCTTGTAATCCTTTCGTATGTGTCTCTGACTCTCTTCGGCAAAACTTATGAACCCGTCGAGAAGGCCCAACGAGAGACAAAAAGAATTCACAGAATGGAAATCGAACCCCTCATATCGTGGCATCTGCGATTCTTAGCCCAGGAGTTTAAGTGAAAAGAGAAAATGAACAAAGAGAAGGAAAAACGTACACGCGCTCCCACATAAGCGACCAATGAAGAATCTCGTCCGATCATCATCCCGGTTTTATTGTTTTGTTACGCGCATCTCTAGAAGGACTGTATATGCTTTTCAACGTGTTACGTGTGCTCGTGAGTTCTTGGCTTTTTTATTATGTTTTTTTTTTTCATCCCTTCGATTCTCCATCTCTCCTTGTCACGATCCAATTCAAAATTACCATCGTTCGCATATACGACCTTGTCTCCTGTCTCACCCTCCCTTTCTATTTTACCTATTTCCACAAACTTTTTCTGAAACTTCTCATCTCTTTCCAATCTTCCTTTCCGTTCGATACGCTATGGACCCGATGATGGGGCGCCACTCTGGACCAGGACGTCGATGCTGAGGTACAGGAAGAATTACGGGAAAATCGGAAAATAGCCAGGAAGAAAAACGCAGGATTCGAAAGACAAGGAGGAGAGCGAAAAACGGGAATGAGAATCAAGAAAAATCAAGGAGAGAAAGATAAAAAAAGAAGTAACGAGAAAAGATACCGAGAATTGCGTCTAACGCATTCGGATGCGTCTCCTCTCGCCAAACGGGTTGAAGATGTTAGATTTCGACCAGACTGAAACGATTGTGATACAATATTTAACTTGCCTATGTGTTAAAGAGTTCCGAGTGGAAGTCAAGTTGAGTAATGTGAATCTCGGGAGTTGAAATATTGCGAGGTGACTGAGAGAGAGAGAGAGAGAGAGAGAGAAAAAAGCCAGGAAAAGAGAGAGATAGAGAAAGCCGCACGGACTGTAAATATGTAAAACGTGTAATATTAAGCGAGTAACGCGCATGCGCAGGCGAATCTCTTCCGAACGAGGAAGCGGACGAAGCCGAAGGACGCGAAACGAAGAAAGAGTCATCGGACAAGTGGAACTTAAAAAAAAATGTTAAAAACAAAATCAGAAAATGGTGGTTTTATTAGAATTATGCGAGAGGAGTGTTATTTCTTTTTTTCTTTCTTTTTTTTTTTCTTTGTTAACTTTACATACCAATCTCCACGGCTGAGAATCCGCGTCTCTTCGACGGAGTGCGATCGTCTCTTTCGAATGAATCCGAAGACGCAACGAGTGTCTGGGGTGGGTGTGCATGAATGAAAAAAATAATTTGGACAGTGGACCTGGAATGTGCGATAAATCGTTATGGAACGCTGTGTCGTTCGGTCGGTGATTCGGGCAGGTGGAATAAAAGAGCAGCCACTGGGCACAAGGCGAAGGGGGCAGATCGGGATGTGCGAAGAGTTAGAAAAAAAAAAGGGAGGACAAGAATCAATCGGTGATTTGAGGTTATGGACGATTGAGAATTTGTTGAGGATGGTTATGGATGTCACTGATAAATGACAGAGAGAGGTATGATTCTAGTATACTATTATTATGATATTTGAATATGTATTTATACGAACAGGTTATTCTAACTACACGATGATATTTCGATTGGTTTTGAAACCAGATTGGTGCTGATAACTAGGTAAGCAAATGAAAGAGGAGGGAAACGTGGAAGAAGGCTGAGACACCGTAGTGTAGTAGCGTAAGGTAGGCTAGTAGATAGGAGTAGCTCAACTTAAGGAAGAACAACAGCGGTTAAGAAGAGGAGGTGGACGGAGGGGACGAAGAGGAGCGAAAATTGAAATTTTTAAGAATTCGAGGACCGTCGATGTACGCTCGTCAGATTTTAATTATCATCATCCGTACGCATTGTGGCAATACTTAATATGGGATTGGAGAGGAGTTGTGAATGGAATGGAAAGAAAAAAAAAAGGCAAAAATATGGAAAGAGCAGGTTAATAAGTAACGTCAAGTTTTACGTACTAGATAATAGTCTTTTAAATTTCTATATTAAGACGTGTGATCTCTCTAATTATTGTATATTACATAATGATCTATATCTAGTATGAGACATAAGTATATTGTAATGATATATATATTAGGCATTCTATATTATTATAGTCTTATTGTTTAGAGATGAGATTTGAGATGCAAATTGTGCGGCCATATTTGCTGTGGCCTGTTCGTAGTGCCTCGGAATTGCTGCTCGTCGCAGTGATTTGAAACGTATTTTAGGATGGTATATTATTATATTGAAAACTGCAATTATCGATACTCTGATACAGTACTAAATCGTGTCATGAATCGTGTCACGCTAAACGACTTATTAAATTATTAGAATTTCTTCTTACCGCGCGATATACCGAATCTATTTCTATTTGCTGCTGTGAAAAACTTCGGAGCCGCGGATTTCTTTGTTATCACGACGCGATTCACGGCTCTTCGAGTATCTCTTTTTTTTTTCTTTCTTCAACTTCTTCGGCTTCACCTTTTCTCGTCACACTGTCTTCATCGCCGTTTCGCATCGACTATCAACATTTATCATTGTCATCCTTGTCTGTTACCTGTAACCAGTTTTTCCTTATTTTTATCAATTTCATTATTCATGTCATTTTATTTTTTTTTTATTCCTTTCATTTTTCTGTCAGATATATCCGCTCGATAATGGATACTTGAGTCTTGTTTTTTTTATGAATTTTGAATTTTTTGAACTGTCAAATTCAGGGTCTCCCCTCCCCACGCTACTTTGCAGCATCGTGAACAAAGGTAGTACAATTTTGAATGGGACTTTTATGGATGACAAAAATTATCTTGATATAGGTAATTGACGTTTTAAGATATTTTGTATATGTCTATATTTTGATGTCTATCAATCCGTCAAGTGGGTTTTTTCAGGCTGTTATCTCAATTCTTTAAGCATTCCGCGTAATGCAATTTTTTCAGAGATTTATGGCTGCCGTCTTTTTATCGCATCGGGAAATATAATTTCTCGCTGTACCGTCGATCTCCTTCTTCTCTTTCGGCTATACTTTTAAACCCGGTGACAGCAGAGACCCAATTATATCTCAATTAAACAGAACCCTTCGTTTACCTATCGGAGTTACGTAACGCGCTTTAACGAGTCGTCTGTTATCATTTTTACGAGCCTAACCGCTTTCAAAGTCCTTCCGGAAACGATTTAATCTTCCAGGAGGACATTGAACCTCTTGAAGTTCGTTGACCGTCATTTTGACGTTTTAATGACGTTTCCACGGGCCTCGTATGTTTATCCCTCGATTCAGGAAGCTTATCGTTTTGTATTCGATACGAGGAACGAGCGTAAAGCGAAGTGAGCTTCGTCGATCCGCCGCCAGGTGGCAGGTTTTCTCGTATACGAACAAATGGATTCGCTTTCTTTGTTCCACCTCGAGATTTTATCAGCGTATAATTAATCTCCGGAAAATTTGACAATTCTTTCAAACATTTTTAAGTGTTCCGACAAGTAGCACAAGGACACCTGACCATATACGAGGTTGAGAATACCTACCAAAGACAAGTAACAAGTATCGAGCGTACATAGAATCTATCCTGACAAAAATTCCTTTGTCACCAAAAATTGTTGAATGACGAATGCTGTGCTTTTTTTTTAATCATTGATTCGCAAAAATCATGACGAGAATCAAAATGAATTCCTTTGGCGTCGATGATAATTCCTTCCGTATGCATTTAATAGTAGGCAGCACATGCGTTGTCTATTTCCTCATAACCGCAACTGCACGTAATCTGCAGCTGCGATTCCTTACTGAAATCGCGCTCGGTGCTCTCGTCACGTATTTTTATTCGAATTCACCTCTATTCTGATCCTGTCTCCCTCCTTTTCTTCACTTTCTTCTCTTGTTAGACTTTTTGCTCTTGCCATTTCCTACTGTGGTTTTCTCTTTGCCAGAGGTTCGGTACGAGCTGGAAAGGAAACAAAAAAATCACACTTGTTGACGAATTATTCGCCTTGCGCTTGCAGGCAAAATGTAGATAGGGAGAAACTCCTTGTTTTCTATTATACCTTTCTTCCCTCGTCCATCCCTTTCGATCCCCTTCCTAATTTCCCATTATAAGCCCAACTCCTTGACTCCCCACAATATCCCTCGTAACACGATATAATTATATTATTATACTATATTATTAAGTTTTCGGGAGAGATTTTGCATACGATGCAGCAGTTAGTTTTATTTTAGAGTTTTTTTTTATTAATTATTAATTAATTATTATTGTAATTCGTGAACTATTATTTTATATCCGAACATTTTAGATGGTTTTTTTTTTTACACATTTATCGATAATTGATATTAATGATTACGATTTATTATACGTTTAAGCTCGCAGTCACAAAATCCGTCGTGTGATATTCGTCGTTAAACACGCTATTCAAATTGATTGGCTTTGTTTTCCTTTTTTTTTTTAAATATATATATTTACGTTTATATATATAGACACATAAAAGAGGAAGAAAAAAGAATACAGTTTGCGTTCATCGCCAAGTAATGCGCAACTGCTCTCGCAATATACAGGGAAACGTTATTTTTATGTCTTTTGTCCTTTTCTTTTTTCATCGTCACTTTCACAATTTTGACTTGCGTCATCCCTCGTTCAGCAGACATCGCGTTCTCGATTTTTTTCGAAAATTAATCGTACAGTACCTCGCGCAGGGTGAAACACGGCGAGGCCGTTGCCGAGATGTAAAATGAAAAACAAATAAGGACGCGTGTGTCGAGAGAGGTAAAAAAAAGCAAAAAAAAAGGAAGACGAAAAGAAAAGTTGCGTGAACTTCATGTGCTATCGGAAAAATAATAAGGGTCACTGGCGGTTTGTAGATACGGCACTGCGAAAAACGGTCGGGTATATCGAGCGGTGGAAAAGAAAAATGAGAGGGCAATAAAAAAAAAAGTAAAATATATCTACGAAGGAGGGCGCCCTCGGTAATCGTCGGTCGGGAAAAAGAAAAAAGAAAGAAAACGTAATTATAAAATAAAAAAATTAAGCACTACGAAAACCTACCGACGGGGTCATCGCAACGCAATTGTCAATACTGTGGAGCGAGACGAAGCGCCGTCGCCCGTTTTCACGTCGACTGACGTTATAAAGCGAAGGGGAAACGTAACGAGGAACAAGAGAAGTATAAACGAGCGGTGGTAGTGAAAGAAAAAAAGTGAACAAATCGGCAACGAGGAAGCGACGGAAGAAGTCAGCGAGACCGAAGGAAGGAGAGGCAAAGAAAGAAAAAAAAAAAGAAATATGGCCGCTTCACAGGCGTCCTTCTTTTGATCCCGATGGAATTTGTCCCACTTGCTCTAACCCGAACAAAGGGGACGCGCGGGAGACGGAGCGAGAGAGAGATAGTAGCGCCGTGAAAAAAGAAAAGAGCAAAGGAGAGGGAGGAACGAAAAAAAAAGTAAAAAAAAATTTTTTTTTAATAAAGGGACACGTCCATTTGGCGTATTTTGCATTGTATAAGATGATAATTAAATTTTCGGTTATGCTCTCGCATTTTAATAATGTCTGCTGGCCGCGCACGCCCCCATCGCCCACTGAATGCTCAAGATACATTAGGTTAAGTTTATAATAATAATAATAATATGTAAATTATTTTCTCTCTTACAAGACTCAAGCCAGACCCGCATCGGTCTGACATTTGCGACGGGGTGTCGCGCCCAGCGCGATTTTATCGAATATTCTCGAACTTTCTGTTTTACGTTCGTTATCTCCTTTTTTTTCATTCTGAATCCTCTGTCTTTTTCATTTCCGCTTGGTTCTTTGCCGTTTTCGAAAAAAAAACAAAAAAAACTTCCGTTTCTCCTGGCGCCAAGAATTTGTTCGAACTTCCTCTTTTACTCTGCTCTGTATATTTACGTGTATAACTTAATCTTTTGTCTTTTTTTCTTCATTTCTTCTTTATAGAATTCCCTCTCTCTCTCTCTCTCTCTCTCTCTCT